GGAAAAATTCGTTCTGTGTACTTTCTTTAGTTCTATTTAAGATCAGGATTTTAATCAACTGTTGGAAAGTTATTGGAGGGAACTGGAAATGTGCGTTAGCATAACATTTATAGGTATGTGCAGTTCCCTTGCATGAATACTTTCAGGCTGTGAAAACAAAGATATCTCATGTTAAAAGGGTTTAAGTTTTAAAAATGTTTGTGTAAGCAGCCCGTTTTCCATTTAGTTCTCATTAACATGAGACATTTTGACATCGTATTATCCAAAAGCTACCATTACCTTCAGGCAACACGATGTAGTTAGGTGGATAATCACATCCTGCAGGCCTAATGGTTGTATCTCTAGAATCAGGGTCGTAGGTACTGGCATTACTAGTAAAAGTGAATAGAGCCTACTGTCGGATGTACTTTGTGCCTAAGTATTATAACCTGTGGCTGAAAGGATTGGTGATACAAGCTCGGTCAGCATGCACTTCTGAAGCTTACTCATATAAGTTGTGCTTTTCATTAAATACAAATAAGAACTTTACTGCTGAGTTTGGATTAAATAAAATGCTTTTAAAATACTAGTAATTGGGGGGGTAAAACCTATGTATTTATATGCTACTGTAGATCAGAAGTGGGGCACTGTTTTGCAAATGTGTAAACCACTGGTCTAGAAAGCAAATACAGCATAGAATATAAAGAAAGATGTGTGAGAAACCTAGAACTCTGTATTGACTGATGTTTGTGAATAGCAGGTGTTTAAAAAGACGGTAAGAATGTTGAAACTGGGTTTGTTGATGTCAGCTGTGTGAAACTTTGCAGGCAGCTTGTGTTTTGGTCATTTGCAATGAAACTGCATTTTTGTGGTGGTATGAGCTTTGTGATTTTACACTTTTTCACTCTTGAGTATTAAACAATCAAAATCAATGCAGATGTTTCTCTTTTTTCCTGCCTGATGTTTTTAAGGATGCATTGTCAAAGAAAAGGGGCTTCACGACTATAAATCTCTTGCTTTAAGGCCTCTCAGACTGATGAGTTCATTTCAGTTGAAAGAATGAACATAATTTTTCATTCCAGAAAAGGCATACCTCTTTCATGTTGATAACAGAAATGATGGCAAAACATAGCATTTTCTTTATTGCAACTACACACAACATGGGTGGACAAGCCGTGGTTCTTGAGTTCAACAGCAGGTAGTGGGAGAGGCAGAGTATAAAACAACACAGAAGGTGGAACTCCAGGACTTGCAAGCATCATAGTCTTCCTTGGGTCCTGGGGCTTGACCAAGGTAAGTCTTAACTTTTACCCTTGTCTAGCAAAGAAAACTTTTTATGCATGTTTAGACCTTTAATGAAAAAGGATATATGTGGATTTCTTTAAAACGGTACCTCTCTCTATGCTGTGAAGTTTTTCCTCTTTAACCACAGAACTTATTTGTAATGAAGAAAGTATCATGCCTTTAAACCGAATTTTCTCTTGATTAAAGAGTTTTTTGTATGGAAGGGCAAGACCTTCTAAAGAGATCATCCATTTTTAATACACTGAGAAAAAAAAACGCATAGTTCCCCATTTCTTGCAAAACGGGGAAAAACAGTATCTGAAGCTACCGACTAAATCACAGCATATTCTGAAGATGGTTAAATGATCAGCAAAATAGTTTCCACTGAAACTGGCCTCTGTCAGAAAAACAAGTTTTCAGTCTTCATTTACTAAGTTAGGTAGTAGTGCTGTTTAAACTGCCAGTGGTGAAGATCTGATGTCCCTGAAATTTGAAGCGTGTCTCTGAATAGTAAGGAATGGGACTCACAGTGGGCTGGTGTTTAATACACTGTTCAAGATTTCAGTTTCCAGGTTTTGACGCATTTGTCAGTTGTGATAACATTTTAAAGATGCCATGAAAATGTGGGGGTGTCTCAATATTAAATTCTAGAAAGGAGTGCTTAAAAGTAATGGGGGAAAAAAAGGGTGTTTATTTATACTCCAAATTTAAATACTTTCAAAGGTAGAACTGTTTTTACCTGATGTATCCCTGCATTCAAATGTGAGCGAAACCAACCAGCAACGTGCCCAAAAAACAAGGAAAAGTTTTTCTTCAGTAGGAAAAACTCTGGGTTTTGAAAAATGTTATCTCCAGCTATTGGGTTATCACAAACCACTGGTATTTGGTTTGGTTTTCATTTCCAAATCACGGTATGAAGTTAGTGTGGC